AAATTCCGAATCACGCAATAAAAGTGTATCAGACGCGAAGAACATTGCTTAGAAAACGTTTTTTGCATATAATAAATTTTATAAAAAAAAATAAAACCGACTCCAAAAAACCTACACTAAAAAGTAGAATAATAATTACTAATTACCTACTTATTTATTAGGACGAATTATTAATATTTATGTAGGTATACCATGATTGATACTTCTGGAGTCGGTGCCAAGATTATGAAACATGTAAAGTTTGCCTGCACCGACTCCAAAAGTATCAATCATGGTATACCTACATAAATATTAATAATTCGTCCTAATAAATAAGTAGGTAATTAGTAATTATTATTCTACTTTTTAGTGTAGGTTTTTTGGAGTCGGTTTTATTCTAGTTGGTTTATAATCGGCGGAGATATTGCGTATAAAAAAGTTCATCCCCAATTTTCCACCCTTGGGGGTTGTTTTTTTTATTATTAAATTTAAATGGGACCACCCTTGAGGTATTACCTATACGCTGCAAAAGATTTGTTCAAATCGGTTCATAATTGGCGGAGTTATCGCGTAACAAACATAGAAAAAAAAAAAAAAAAAAACATACGGGTCGAATTGAGAACCTCCTCCTTTTTTTGAAGTCGGTTGAAAAATAATGTGTAACACTTTAATTTTGTAATTCTCGCGAGTATGAGTGTGAATTTGACTTTCAAAGTGCCTGAAACTGAATGAGCAACCAACCAGAAAGTAAATCAGTAAATTGATATTCATACATGACGAAAGAAACCTGCTAATGATTTAGGAAACAGTTTCAATGGAATCCGCCACAAAAAAGGATGCAGTTAGTTAATAGTTAACGTTCAGCAGTTATCGTAAAACGCCAAGAAAATAAAACGGTTTTGTCGGCCCGAATCATCATACTGGCAACAATAAAAAGTCCCATCACGACTCCGGTTCCTCAAAAGGAAACTGGCCCTTCAATCCCTCTTCAGCTTGTGACAACCTCTGTGGCCACTCTACTCCATGCCCCGTTAGTTCACATTACGCAATGCTAGAGCGAGACGCACAACCGTCAAGCATTACTCAGTCAACGTAGTTGGCCGCCGCAACGCGGTTGTCCGACACTCAAAAAATCGAATTCCGAATCTATACGCGAGTGCGTGACAGCTGTCAAAAAAGCGCGCGAAGTGAATTTTTCTTTTTTTTGTGCAGTGCCAGTGAAAGTGAATGGAAATAGGTTATATGCGTAAGTTGGGAGATGTGTCAATGGATTTGCGTTTGCGCAGCGTTAGAGTTTGTGTTAGGTGAGTTTTTCAGTTTGACGTCACCGGCAATCAGCTGATTGGTCGCTTGAAGGCTGTTTAACTTTAATGCGTGTTTATCTTATTCGACAATGCATGTACTTATCCGTTTTGTGAATAATTTGGCTACCAGTTGGTTTCTTTTAAAACTTAGAAGTTATTAGTTTTTTTTTAATGAATGTGGTGATACGTTTTTGCTTGCTTTAATGTCATTTACATAATTAATCTTCCGTCTAAAAAGCCAATCAAATTAGCAGCACTTCGCTTGATTAAGTTATAAATAAGTCTTAAAAACATCGTCCACCATTTTTAATATCCGCAATATTTTTTTATTGAGTCTAAAGCTTTTTATAGCGCGAAGTAATTATTAAGGAAGCAAATTGATTATCATAGGCCTTATCCAATGCCGCGATAAAGGTCATTGTTTCTCCAAAATGTATCTCACGGTCATTGGTTTAATGATTTGCGAATCAAACGACCGGTTTTTGTATTGAATCATAAGTTATGTCGATATCGTGAAGTAGACACATACATTCAGAAGCAGACTGTAAACCCTTGAAAAAGAGGCTGACAATAGTGACTGGTTCTTGCGCTGCTTCTTCTCAGCACGGGCCCATTTATTGTCCCGAAGCAGTGGTAGGGTTAATACTAGGACGTGTAAAAGTGCTTTTTAACTCATTTTTTGCAAGTGGGTTTTACTTGCAAAACTAAAAGGAGTTTGAGTTGTATGAGTATAATTTACTAGCTTTTGACCGAGACTTTGTCTGCGTAGATTACGATAAAGCAAAAGACCTATGAGATTTCCTGATCAATGATGATTAAGAATGACCTAACATTGTTTTATTATTCATTAGTTTTTGGATGTAGGAGTAACAAACAAGCATCTATCCACCCTCTAGGTTAATTAAACCTTGAAATCAGATAATTTTGTGTAACTCTCATGTTATTCAACATTACCCCCGAAATTGTCTCTAAAAACCATGTTTAACACGGAATCAATATCCCATTGTTTTTAATGTCTCCAACGCACGCATCTCGCCAATATATCAACAAGTAAATGTTAACCCTCCAGTGCCAATTGCCGGCGCGGGTCCAAACGACCCGGCAGTTGCAGGGTTATTATCGCCGCGCATGCGGGCGGGGCGATTAAGACCCGTTTCCGAAAACATGGGCTTTTTAATTGAATTTTCGTTGTTTTGGGGTTAAGTTTTTTCGTTAAACGCGATACGGTCAATCGCACGATTTGATGCGATACTGTTTTTTGTATGGAATTTTTTAAAACAAAAAGTCATTAAGTCCAATTTAGATCCCTCTAAATTACTGTCCATTACATAAAAAAAGATTATCTCAAAAAATATCTTAACCTGTCCACTGGCGGTGCCAAAAATATGACGGACCGTTCTCAAAATGACATTTAATTTGACAGATTCCATTGTCTGACGTAAATCAAATTGCGTCCATTTATCCCGTTCCGTACAACAAAGAATGACCCTTTCTTCCCACATTATCTGCGTAAACAATGGCGGCCACGAATGGCTGTTTACATTTATATAGCTCTCATTGTTAGTGTAATGAGATTTTTTTCGAAGCAAAAAACGTGGTGAGCGTAGGAAAGTGTGAAATTTGTTGAGTTGTATTGATTTGTTTGTCGTGTAGGCTGATAGGTGGACAATGTGTCTATGGTGTGTGTGAAATCTGTTTTTTTTACTTGAGTGTGTATTTGGAAATTCAGTTTTTAAGCTATTTTGGAAGATGAAACGAAGTTTATGAAGTTCAAAACTCTAAATATGAGTTTAATTTGGTAACTACAAAGATACTGATTTGATAATTTGTACCCCAAGTAGATAATCTTAGCAATTTTTTCAAATCCTCAGTCTTCCGAGTTCAATGACATTTTATGTGTCACGTGACTATAAAACTGTCTTATAACACTGGAATAATAAAGATTCCTTTATTCATAAAAACGATTATAATCTTTTAAACCCGCTTTATGCTACTCTATGTTTTGTCTCTTTCCATCCCATTACAGAAGATGAATGTCTGACAGAAGTAGCGATCATTAGCTGAATTCCAATCTTACTTTTATTTTTACATAAGACAGAAGCCACTTAACTTAATAACCGTATTACAGTTAATTATTATTAAACAGGTGTTTTTAATTAAGTTTTTAATGTTTTTGAGGGAAATCAGTTATCATTTTGTACCTGAACGTTAAAGAGTTACGTGTACCGCATAATTGGAAACATACTGTAATTATTCCCAAGAAACTGAAGTGTTAAAAGCAATTAAAATTCCCCTGTACGAGTGTGGGATGAAAGCTAAAAGGCTTACTGTACTTCATAACGGATACCACTTATAACATATTTCTGCTAAAATAAACAAACACTCTATGAACTTTTTATAAAAGCACAAAAAAACATGCAATATTTTTAGAGAGTTCAGGCATTGTTAAATGTTTAGCACTAACAGATATCATAACAAAAAATCCTCATTAGCATTTTGGGGTTAATAACACTTTAGTAAATAAATATTTTCCACTTATTTCTGTGCTGTTTACTTATTTTGCATAGTTTTACATGCATAAAATTAATATCTACCTACATAAAATTTGTTAATTTCTCATGTAAGTGACTGTAATGTTTTTAATGAGAAATAAATGTTCTTTAAACCTAAAATATCAAGACACTGTTAAAATTATTTACACTAGCCTCGTAGCGCCCACGGATTTTTTGGATCATCTTTAACTACAACCCGACCGTCCTTCTTATAGGACATATAGTTCTAGTCATAACAGCCCAAGATTTTGAGTTGAAATTCGTATGTGTTAGAGTTACCAGTTTGAAGTGAAACTTTCAGGGTATAATTATGATTATATTAGAATGTGTTTTTAAATTCAATTAGTTGTCTACCTTTTGTTCTTTTAAAAGGCCATCGGGCCACAATTACTAGATTAAAAGGAATTATTAGGTGTTGTAAAATAAAATATCTGTTTAAGATTAATATTTTTATGTCAGTTCTTTTCAATTAAATTACTTACTTCTATTACAGTTTTTAAGTCTCCTATTACAAGGCTTTGGTTTGACTCATTAAATTCTTATAAAAAAAATCTTCTTTAAACTTATTATTTTAAAAATCAAAATTCTTTTTCTTCTCTCTTTCTTCTTCTTAATCAAAATTATTATACCAGTACTAATTTAACTCTTATCTAAGTATCAGCACTTTTCCTTACATTCTAATCATCATTGCAATCTTGCAATCAGTTTGTAGAAGAGTTTTTCAATTAAATTATTTATTTCTATTACAGTTTTTCTTTAATCAGTCTCCTATTACAAGGCTTTGGTTTTACTAATTAAATTATTATAAAATAACAAAATCTTCTCTATACTCTTTTAAAAATCAAAAATCTTATTATCACAATTTCTTTCTTAATATAAAATACCAGTACAAATTTAACTCTTAACTAAGTATCAGCACTTTTCCTTACATTCTAATCATCATTGCAATCTTGCAATCAGTTTGTAGAGGTGTGAAAATCCTTGAAACAATTTCTGTTTCTTGTAAAGCATAAGTTCAAATTGCACTCAGTGCACATGACATTAGTCTTCATCTTATGGCATCGTCTGCATCGTTTTTGAGCATCTGCCATTTCCGGTAGGTGCTTGGCACCGCTTCGTCTCATTCTTTCAGACGGGATTTGGATTAACGTTGGACGTCCTCTACCTCTTGTCTGTTCTTGATCTTCATCTTCGGAGTGTCCATCTGTGTCTATATCCGTAACTGTAAATGCTTCGATCAAACTTTCGCCGACATCCAATTTGAAATCACGCAGTTGAAGTATTTGTCTGGTAGGGACTCTTTGGGCCACTCTGTGCGATTTGTAGACCAGCCAAGAATTTGATAGAGCGAGATCAATCATATGATTAAAAACGCGCTGTGTCCATTTAACCGTTCTATAACGATTGGGACAGACGGATAATAATCTGTCTGCCAGATCTACCCCGCCCATGTTAGTATTGTAAGCTTTGACGACAGTAGGTCTTTGCACTTCCACGTAGGTTTTTTGAGCCTTGCACCATCTTCTGCACGTGTCCATGGGTTCGGCTGCGTGAATCGTTGACAACAAGGTTACTCCTTTGTTGTCATACCATTTTGTCAAAGCCAAATCACGTTTTCTATTGACCAATACCTGCGTTGTTCCTCTTCCTTCCGTTTTCATTTGTCTGTCTTCCTTCAGCTTATTTCTTGCATCTAACGGAATCCTGTTTTTCATAATTGTGCCAGCGCACAACAGATTCTTCGACAAAAGTTCTTCTGTAAGCTTTACGGTAGTAAAGTACCGGTCAAAATAAAGTATATGACCAGGAGCCAGGTTTTCGGCCAAATCGAGCACAGCTTTCATACCAAGACCAAAATCAGTATCGTCATAATTAGGATATGTCGTTTGTCCCTGATAAATTTTAAAATTACAAACGATCCCATTAGGGTTTGCGAGTACAAACGCTTTCAAGCCTGTTGGATTAGGCTTGCCCGGTACGTACTGCTTGATGCCGCACTGCCCTGTGAAGGGTACGATCATCTCATCTATAGATAAACATTTCTGTTTCACTTGCTTGCGGCATCCATTCACAACTTTATCAAGCAAAGGGCGAATTTTCCATAGTTTGTCTTTAGCACGATCCTCTCGGCTAACATCATCGTCATAAACAAACTTAAGCGAATTTCTTAATTGCAAAAATCTGTTTCTGGGCATACTGTCTGCTATCATCGGCACTCGATATTTGGTTTCCCAGTACATCCTAATCCTGGGATAGTTTAAACTAGCCATGATCATGGTGATGCCCAGATAGACGTAAAGCTCAGATTCGATGAGATGCAGATTTGTCCCGAATTTTTTTAAATGCGTCTGATTAGATTTGGCAACAATGGTTTGAATTAAATCATCATCTACATACTGTCGAAAATAATCATAATTATCAGCGAAGTTTTCAGGCTCAAAATATAGGTAAGCAGGCTGAGTAAACGGTATATTAGTTGGAAAGAAATCATCTTCAGCCCATTCTGGTATTTCAGGGTTGTCCCTGACATCACACTCGGCTTGCTGGATATTTACACGTCCCCTACTTTGAGATGCTCTTCCACGAGAACGAACATGACCAGTGCCCCTAGCTCTCCCTCCGTAAGCCCGCGGTGTATTGAGTGTCATACCTCGAGTTGATCCTCCACGAGTACGTACACGACCAAGGCGACTAGATATCCCTCCGCGAGTGCGTGGTCCGTTCCTTGTACTCCTAAATTCGGAAAGAGGAGTTTCGTCGTCTACACTGGAGTCTGACGACGAACTATTGACTGCGTTGTCACCGTGTTTTCTTGCAAAATCTGTATCCGCTTCTCCCTCATCTTCGAACTCGGAATTTTCTAGGGTCCCATCGTCCATAAGGGCTTGGATTTCATCATCCCGCAAACCTGTAAATAAATCACCATGCATAAAGGTGCTCAATGCAATCCTGAACCTCTGGCTAACACCTACACCGACTAGACACAAAAAGTTAGTAGTGTAAAGACTAAAGAGTATTAAATTATTAGTGAAAGATAAGTTGCATTTTTATATATTAGTAATAGGTATTTCATAAACCAACATAACACAAAGCCACGAACTAAACACAAATATATTTTTAGTACTAGATTCGACCCGACGGACTTCACAAAGTACATATTATTTCAAACCAGAATTTCGCAGAAATTCAGCTCTAAAAATGCAAACTAATTATCTCTATGTAAGAAATACTTATTCATTAGCAACTTTTTGCATAAAAACATACTCGACAGTCACGGATTACCATAAAAAAATGCGATTTACTTACCACGTTTTCGTGAGCCGTCCATACTGCCGACAATTTTTCCAAAAATGCCATATGTCAATTGTGACAGCCAATGGTAGCATACCGGAAACTGTTCCCTAATATTTCGTTCAGAAATCGAGTTCAATTATTTCTTTATCCCGCGAAATTTCAAAAATCTAGACAGAATTTATTAATATGTCCTTCTGAAAGGCGCATGAGCGGTTATTGAAAGTTACTCGAAAAAGGTCTGGGCTGTAGTCGCCATGTTTATTTTGGGTTATAAAAAGGCGCGTGGGCGCTACGAGGCTAGACAGAATATACTCGTACCATCGCGATGATATACATGTAAAACTATGCAAAATAAGTAAATAGCACGGAAATAAGTGAAAAATATTTATTTATTAAGTGTTATTAACCCCAAAATGCAAATGAGGATTTTATTTTATTTTTTTAGTCTCAAAATTAGGAATTACATCGCTTAATTTGTATTTTAAAACAATGCTCAAAAAACTCTAAATCGAGCATTCACGCCTATGATAAATTGGAAATTTATTTTAAAGATAAACTGTACCTATATAAGGATTCATATCAACATCCCATATTATTATGTTCCAAACTACTCACTATACCACTATGGTATCAGACCAGGTACGACTAATAGAGACGTATTTTTGTTCCATTCAAATTCCAAATTGACCCAATCTCCATATGACTGCTACAGATTTGCAAGCGAATTGAAATTCGCTTTAAAAACACCCAACCAAAACTAAATGCCCTAATATTATTTCAAAACCCACACCCGGGCTATCTCTATCGCCCATAAATGCCGCTAAAAACTCTATTTTAACTGCGATACTAGCGGCGGCAATAAAAAAAGGATTTTTAACGGCGATTGCACAGTTTTTCTACTGTTGTTGGTTCACGCACGCTCGGTTAGCGATTACTGATGAAGGTTGAGCTGATTCACACCTGTGACATGTTAACTCACAAGCACATACTAGCTTGTCATGTGTCGTTGCTTATCTAAGTTACATGGACTTGTAAAATTGACCTTGTCTTGTTTCTCTCCCATAGTCATACGTAGCTTACGACGTGAGATTTTTTCCTATCCTGAGCACAATGTAAATGCGAAACAAGCAAATGTATCACTTTCATGTTAGTCATTATTTCAATGCGTCCAGTCTTGCACCTGAAATAATTATGACAGCCAATTTTTATTTGATCTTTGTCATTCCTAATGTATTGAAACCTATGTTGATTGATATTAATGACAGATATTTTTGTCTTGTATTAGGTACTTATTGCTAAGCTGTTGTAAATAAATACGGGAATTCACACTGCTACAACTCCTGTGTAACCAGATCCTCACCGTAATAATTGGATTTTTTTAACAAAACAAGATAGGGTTTTGACCGCAATCTCATCTGATGTTAAATGAAATGGATTCTAGGATGCCCTGCCCAGTAAATGGCTTTTCACTCTTCCCTTTAAGATATTTTTTGCCCATGAGTGGAACTTACAAACCTATTTCAAGTTTATGTTCTCCTAATGGCCGTAAGAGATGCGCTTGACCTATTTAACAGCGGAATTCGTACGCTTGTAAGCGCGGGGGCGTGGCGCGTGTCAAATGGTCTTTATGGTCGTCACCCCGCCCTGTTATTAGCCCCATAAAAACACATAAAAAGATTTATGCCGCCTTTGATCGATGGTGTAAGTGAATAACCGATACTTAGTGCAGGACTAGAGATGTATCGACGAAGGTACAACAGTATCTTAATTTAGTTTGTAAGAAGTGCGAATTTGCAACAAAAAATTATATTGTCTTATGTGATGTGACCCTTCTATGATCTGAGGATGTGACTGTCGACTGTACATCAAGGTCAGAGATATGCAGTGCATAAGGATTAAAGCTCTACTTGATAAAATACTTAACATATCAAACGCTGTTTACCTACGAGTATTTTCGAAGGCAACAAGTGTCCATCTCAAAATTAAGGCACAACACTGGTTGTGGATGATATTATTTTACTATTTAAAAGATATACAAAGTCGCGGTGGACTGAATTATTGATATTAATTACATATTTTATCTAAAGTTAAATAATAAAGCACTATAGGTACACTTAAAATATGTCAGACACTTTTTTCTGCCATCTGCGCCTCCTCAATCAATGCTTGGAACTGGTTATTTTTTTACAACCAACAAGTCTATTTTGAATACATAACCTATACTATGAAAGATTTGATCAACATGACACTAGTTTTTATTTATTTATTTACTTAAAATCTTTATTGCACACATAAAAATACAGTGGTACAACAGGCGAGCTTAATGTCATGTGGCATTCTCTTCCAGGTAACCAGAAAATTAAACAAAACAGAGAATATAAGTAAATAAGTTTTATCCCGGTATTCGAAACAAGGTAGGATCTGTAGACAGCAAAAATACTTTAAGGGGTAAAATAGGGTATACCTTAGTATGAGGAACCCATTGTCAGGGTAGGGATAAAAGCTTTTCTTTTTTATAGGAGACTGTAAATAACTTTTCTTAAGAGATACCTAAGTGCTTCGTAATATTTTAGATTTATTAACGGTTTTTTTAAATGCACGAAGCCTCTTTGAGACAGAAGAATCGACGCATATACACGATCAACAGTAATTACACAATACATTCTATTGGATCAACTGTCTGAAAACTGAATCGCGTTTCTACTTGAAAATCATTAGTTTCAAACTCAATTTCTTCAACTTTTAACATTGTAAACCAGTTAATTACTTAGATTGGCCTAAATGTATCACCGTTTACGTTCTAATTAGATGATGAAGCAATTAGCTGGAATTGTTAATTACTTGCCAAATGGTTTCAGATGTTACTGTTAAAAAGAATCTCCAAGGCTGTCGCGCTGAAAGACCTTGCCATTGCAAATACATTGTGTAAGCTTATTGTTGTAGTTAACACTATTAACCAAAAATACCCAACGACAAAGAAAAACTTTTAACTTTTCAGTCGACTGCAAAATTGTATCTTTAGTCGATTTGAATCAATAACCAATGTTGTGACATAAGATTCTATTGCTATGTCTGTAATATCTATAGATGACACACACACACACACACACTTACAGTTCGTAATAAGCACTATACACTACTAAGATACACTACCTTAAGATGTTTTCCTTTATTTTGGTTTATAAATGTCATCAACTATCGAAGTGTGATGTACCCCGTTATAAAACGTTTTCCAATAAAAACACAAGCAATCGAAGAGTGAGATTCTTTATTGTAATTTTTGTCTTAGTCCTGAAAGTGATCGTAGGTTAAAAAAAAATATTGCATAAACTATTTCAATAAATATTTCTTGACCTACTTCTCACCGATAGATGAGCTAGTAGTCAGTAGACAACCCTACTACCCGGCGAGCGTTCGCGTTCGTCACGGCCGCAAAAAATCGCATCGAGGTCGATGCACCGGCGACAAACCGCACGTGTACGCCACCGGGACGCTTTGTTTACTGTTTTGTTAATTGACTTTTCAAATTAAACCTGTCCATCAGCTGATCTATTTTATTAAGTTTTGGCCACTTTATGTCTCTCTGTCACTGCTAAATAAAGGTGTATTCCGTTCCTATGATGGGACATGGATAACTAGGAAATAGAAGTTGAAAAAAAAACGTATACCAATAGCGTCCTGATCTACACTGATCGGAGAGAATCAATTTGACCTGGTTGTTTTAAAAAAGTTTTCATGCGTTAACAATTATGTCAATGTCAAACTAAACCATGTCACACCTATGGCGGCCCTTAAACTCTGACACCAGGCTTGGAAAACCTTCTGATTTAAGCCCATCAATTACGTAGCCAACGGTAGGTATAACCCATAAATACTAGCTACAGAGGGGCTACGATACAAAGCACCACAATGCCCATGCGTATGTTTAAAACTACTTCAAGTAAATCTTGCATAGTTTTGGGACCCCTTTTAAGTCGCTTCTTTTATATTCACCGCATTGCGTGAGCGTGACCCATCCGGGAAGCGAACGGGCCATCTACCACAATACCCCATCATCTTAAGGGGTCATCTGCCGACATAATATGACTTGCCCTTTGACCTGTGACCTAAAGGGCACGATTAAGATAGCTTAATTGACTTTATGGCGTAGCCTAATGGATCGCACAGGTCAAAGCCAGCTGCGGTTGCTAGTTCGAATCCTGCTAAGGGCGAATGACGAAAGGTTAACGGAATCATGGCTTTTTGAAAAACGGCGGAAAATCGACAATGACTGATATGGAGTAGTGAGTGGTCTATAAGGCGTAAGTAAGTGGTCGCGAGTTCGATGCCTGAACAATAAAAACATTCGTGAACATGAACGATGGACATATCTGAAAAAATTCAGTTTTTGGTAAATGACTATGTATGTACATTGCCCGTAATTGAAGCTTTAGATTGGGACTAGATGTGACTATGTAAAATATCCATTGTATATTTTTGTTGTCATTATTTAATGTAACTAATTATAATTCAATTGGTAACCGACCCTGAACGACAATGCAGTTTTATCAGGAGCCATCGTTTCCGGCACAGCTTAACCGGTGCCCTGATGCATGTAATGGCTTGCTCCTAACCCTAACCATGAAAGTTCAAATTGTGATATCAAAATAACTATAATATCATAAACATTGTACAGGTTGTTTTAAAACAAATCAATACTTTCTATGTATCTACCTATCACATAACCCATGTCGGTATTTAGCTCGAAGAGCAGTCTGCCGTACATGACAAAATACAATTTTGATCACTGCTAACGGGCGATCGTTCCGTCTTAATTAAGCTTATTAATTAACCACGCTTATTTACGACAAACAACTGTCAATAAATACCGGTAAATTAACGTTGTTTTTCAAAAAATAAAAATATGTACCTAACTGTTAGAATAATCACATAGTCCATTAAAAAATGCACTAATTAACACACTTACGCAGAGCAAAAAATTGGTGTAATTGGAAGCAATCTTATGATATCAGTAAAAATATAAGTAACTAGCGG